CCTCACGCTGCCAAGGTCGTCCTATACCTTGCTGAGGGTATAGAACCTGACTAAGTGGATCCACTAGTCTATGCTAAAAGGAACTAAGGAATCATCTAAAAAGTATGACCATTTTCTACCCATGGTGGCTATATGGTTTATGGGGGTTGGGAGTTTTCTAAACTCTCCCCTATATCGGTGCTCAATACTACTCCCAAAATATACTATCTCATATGTTTAAATATATAACTCTGTGGTTTGAGATAATTAATCAAAAACTAGCCCGAAGGCTCTCTTGGAAATTAGTGTTTCCTCTCTTGCTTAATTGTGAAAACATTTACTCTTTTACTGAAAACTAGCTCAAAGACTTTTTTGAAAATCTCAGTTTTCTTTCTTGTTTAAATGTTAAAACATTTTACTCTTTAATGAAAACTAGATCATAGGCTGTTTTGGAAATCTCAGTTTCCTTTAGGATTGGGCACAAACACCGAGAAACTGAAATATCGAGCTGAATTATTTCAGTTTCGGTATTTTGGTTTTCGGTTTGATATTTGATATATGTTTTCGTATTTTTTGGTATTTCAGTTCGGTTTTCGATATGTAATTTTATATTATTCGGTATTTCGGTTTATCGAAATATATTATATTATATTTGTAATATTATAATATTATATTAATTATTAATATTAAATACTCCCTCCGTCCCATTTTATGTGGCACTATTTCCTTTTTGGTCAGTCCCAAAAAGAATGTCTCATTTCCTTATATGGTAAGTATTTAAAGGTACAATTCCTCTTTTACCCTTGTTGGTCCCACTTAATCTTAAAATAATACTCCAATACATTTATGAGGAGAGAGAAAAGTGAGTCTACTTTTTAAAGGGCAATTTGGAAAACATTTCAAAGTCTTCATTTATTTCTTAAACTCTGTGCCCGGTCAAATGTTGCCACATAAAATGTGACGGAGGGAGTAATAAATTGGCAAAATTAGGTCAAACTTTTCACTTTTCAGCTTTTACTTTTCAAACTTTTCACTTTTCTTAGCAGCCACACATCCGTCGCTTCCCACGTTAGTTTTAACTTTTCAACTTCCAACTTTCCAGTTCGGCAGTTCCACTTCCCACGTCTTCCGGCTATTGGCCGATCTGCAACAAGTCAACGATCGGCCGACCAGCACGCAACACTGCAGCAGGCCAGCACACAGCACTGTAGCAGGCCAGCACGCAGCACTGCAGCATGCCAGCACGCAAGCAGCACGCAGGCAACACGCAGCACTGCAGCAGGCCAGCACGCAAGCAACACGTAGCAGGCCAGCACACATCACACAGGCAGCACGCAGTAGCAACCAGAATCACGCAACAGCCAACCGGCGACCACCAACAACCGATCGGTGACCCATAACGAAAAACCGAACTAACAAAAACCGAACCGAAATAACATAAATCGAATCAAAATAAAAAAAAATGAACTAGAATAATTCGATTCAGTGTTCGATACATGTGATACAAGAACCAAAAACAGAAAATAATCAGAAAAAAAAAAACAAAACTGAACCGAATTACCGAATGCCCAGCCCTAGTTTCCTTTCTTGTTTAATGTGAAAACATTTTAGTCTTTGGGAATACATAGTCCTGACATACTCTTTTGAAGAAATGAACTTCAATCTTTACTCTTTACTCAACTCAAAACCCAGGTCTTAAAACAAAGTTAAAATATTTATAAAAAACTTTTGAAAGACTCTATGAACTTCTCTTGACTTGACTCTTAACTTTCCTTGAATTTGAATTTATGGATTCAAGGATTGTGATTTGTCATAGGAAAAGATTTCATGATGTTTAGGAGTGTTTTAGATAGTTAAACATGAGAAATGATCAAGAAATCACTGTCTGGAAGCAAGTCCGTGATGCGGAGATGCATTTAAATATTTGGTCGCGAAATAAATTTTGAGGCAGAAAGGTCCGTGACCGCTCCGCGATGCGGAGAGAAAATTCCTATCTTTTCTTCGATTTCTAACCCCAATTTGCCTAAACTCGGTTCTTTTTCTCAAATACTCTTTAGATTCAGATACCCAGTATGTATGCACAAGAATCTAACTCAACCCACTCAAGGAAACAACATTATAACCTCGAGAAACTCCTCAATCTCAACCCAAATTCAAGAACACACATTAAGAACATTCAAACTTCTAATCTTTTTAAGACGACTTCACGCTGAAATAAACATGTTTGGCACGTGGTTGAACGAACCCAACGTTATGAAAGTCTCACATACCTCGTAGGATCAAATCCTTGACAAAATCTGCAATCAATTCCTCACGAAGACGACGAATCTTGACTTTCCTCTTCTCTTCTCTTTAAAACCCTAGCGTGAATTTTCAATTGTGCAAACTGAACCAATTCAGTTTTGACCCTAATTAATTCACTAAAAACGAATCAAATCAAGTGGGTATGGAAAAGACCATAATACCCTTCTAAAATCCGGTTTTGACTTTACTTAGCTAGACAGCCCGACTTCCAATGGGAATATCTCCCTCATACAAACTCAGTGGCGTTGGAAAGATAATTCAAAGGATCTTTCCTATGGTATCTTGTAGCATATCTAAATCATCCCAAGCTAGGATTTATGGTCGTTTGAAGTTGATCCAAAACTCATACTTAGCTTAACTTTGTCAAACTTTCCAAATTTGATTATTTCCAAAAACGATTTTCTTCTAATTCTAGTTCTTTCTAGTTCTTTCAAATAACGGGGTGTTACAAATTATTATTTTTTATTGTTATGTGCATGATATGTGCAAGTAATATTGTACACAATTTTACTAAGCAACCTATAATATAATAGTATAATGCTTATTATCGAAATCATTCTCTATTTTGAATTATGAGATATTAATTATAAATTTTATTCTACTAAATTAGTTAAGAGTAAGATTAAAAAAATTGTATTGTTATGTGCAAGTATTGTACACAATTTTATTAAGTAGCTAGCCTATAATATAATAGTATACCATCATTTCACACTCATGATACGACAACTCGATGAAACCACTAATCTCATCAATCGTTGGCACCAATTTGAAATCAACAAATTTGAAGACCATCCTCACAGGGTCCCAAAATTCCAGCAAGGCCCTAATCAAGCGACGGTCAGGTATGACACAAATGAGCTAGGTAAGACCGTCCAACAAATGACGAATCTCTCTTTCATGGTCTTTCTTGATATCATTCCACCAATCTCTTAGTTTGTAGTTTACCTCTACGACCATCTGCGGGTTAACGGACTTGAAGAGGTTCTATGCGAGAAGGCACATGGTTCCACGGTAGTAAAACTATCCGCATTTGTCATGCATATGTCGACTCTCTTTAATAGGGTGTTTGAAGAGAATTAGAGTATTTGTGAGAGGTGCAAAGGCACAACATCACAATAAACAACAAAGGAAAAAAAAGGAAGAGGGTCCCAATTGGAGGAAGTATGAGCAGAATGATAGTGGTTTCAACTTAGAATGTGGTTTTATAATTGCTTCTTCATATTCAAAAGCATTTATCAAGAAAAGGATTGTTTCTTCATTATATTTATGTTAGATTTATTATATAGGATAGGCTGAATAAATAATTAATTTTAAATATTAATAATCAAATATTTATCGAAATTGGTATGTATGTGCATGATATGTGCAAATTTTGTACACAAATTTTGGTAAGCAATCTACAATGTAATAATACAATGTTTTTTTTTTAAAAAAAAAAAGGTATTTTAAAATATATTATTAATTTTCTTTTGTTTAATTACCAGTCTTGAACTCTTGACCTAGTAGGTAGGAGAAAACTCTTCAACCAGTCAACCACTATAACCAAGAAGGCCGGTGTAATAGTACAATGTCTCATTATCGAAATCATTTTTTATTTTGAATTATGAGATATTAATTATATATTTTATTCTATAAGATAAGTTAGGAGTAAGATATTTTTAACGTATCCATGAGTCATTTCTTATGACTTCCGTCTCTGAATCTGAATCATTTTATATTTTGATCTTTTTGCGATGCATTCCTCTACCATTTCTTTTTGCTCCTCTATCAGTACCACTCTCACTTGGAGCAATTCAAGCATGTTCCCATTCAGTCATATCTGAAAGGGGAACAAGAAATCAAAAATATGATTAATATCATTTAATGTGACAATGTATGTCATAAATTTCTGGTATATAGCAAAAGAGTTTATTAAAAAAAAATTACACCTAAGAGAATTATTTCAAGATCAATCTTTTGAAACTATAATATATGTACACATATATATCTAAACATATGATTATTAATAAGAAAAAAAACCTATAAAAAAAGACATGTACTACACATGTTACACCCAAAAGAACTCTTCGCTTATTTCCACGTGTTCTCTATTCTGAAATAGAAAACATACCCTTAGGTAATGCTACGTGTCGGATATGTTTATCCAATACTGAATCAACGACGAATTTATGTATTCTTCCTTGCACTCACTTATACCATAGTGAGTGCATTTCAATTTAGAATGTGGTTTTATAATTGTTTCTTCATTATATTTGAATTCAAAAGCATTTATCAAGATTAGAATTGTTTCTTTCATTATATTTATGTTAGCTTTATTATATAGATAGGCTGAATAAATAATTAATTTTAGATATTAATAATCAAATATTTATCAAATTTGTTATGTATGTGCATGATATGTTGTACACAATTTTATCAAGAAATCTACGATGCAAAGAGAGCTCAATCTTCGTAATTCAACAAATATTTATGTTATTTTGTTTTTTCCTTAGATGATTAGAATTCTTGAATTATAAGAGCGTAACACGAGATATGTGTCAAACACACATGATGAGTCAAATCACCTATTGTTCACCGAGTTTTGAATTGTGCAGCAAAATTAGCAATGCAAATACTCTTATTATTACCAAAATTGTTTGCTCTACAAAAGGCTTGCACCAGTCAATACTAAGCAAATACTCACTTGAAGCAGAGACAAATAACATGACAAATACTTAGCTTTAAGGGCTGTGCAAAGGGTAAATTGCTTTACTATTTTGCCTTACCAATAATGGTGATGAATTCCCAACATCTCTAAATGGTGGCCTTTTTGGTACTCTTGATTCTTTGCTGCAAGAATAATGTTCTTTTCTTCTCTCGACAGGAGAAACTTCTCGTTTACAACTCATGTCATTGGCTCCACGATTTTCTTTCAGACGATGCATAAACATGCGTTTTTCCTTCTCTAGTTGTTTCCCTAGAGATACAGGAGGCAAATCTTTCGTTGAAATCACTTCAACACCTCTTTGTTTTTGCAACTTCTGATTGGCATTTTCTTCTTTCAACCGACAAACCAATACGCGTTTTTCCTTCTCAATTTGCTTGGCTAATGACAGCAGAGGTGAATTCGGGGTAGATGTTACCTCCCTCTGATCATGTGCTGTTGATTTCTTTGTTCTTGATTTTTCTAGCTCGTCTTTCGCTGCAGTTAACTCATACTGCATATCCTTTGCCTTGGTTTCAAATGCTTGTGCTTTGTCTTTCCATTCTTCCACCTACAAAAGCCAAGTAAATGAGATACTTTTCAAGAAATAATATAGTGAACTGTTTCAAATCAAGACTTTTTTCTTCAACATGTCATTGGAAATAAAGAACCAGATTCTTACGGAGGACTGTAAAGATTGGATTTCATGAGCAAAGTCTAGGGCTCGGTTTTCCCAAAAATCGCGAGAAGCCTGAAGTTCTTCCATCTCCCCTCTGACTTGCTGCAGCATTTCCTGCATTTGTGACCATTGCTCAGTTTCAGCTCTTACTTGTTCTACGATCCTTCGCACTATAACCTTGCAACGCCCTGAGCATTTGTTCTCCTCGAGTGGCATCATGTCCTGTTTGTATGAAACATGGGTGAAAAAACTGCTTCTTCAGTTCAAAACTAGCAATAAAACTCTATAACAAAATGAAGACAAGTATACCATATTGAAAATGCATGATTCTTGAGATGTTATGCAAAATACTCTCTTTTAGGATTGATTTCACATATGATCATCGAACTACAGGTCTATTGCAACAAAGCCATAAAACTAAGTTCAATAACTACGATAGAACACATCGTCTATCTCTATACTCAATAAAATGAAAGTCACTAGAAATATCAATCCAACCCTGACATTACAAGCAAGTTGCCGCGTAAGATAAAAATTGCCAAACTACAATTAGCAACATAACATTTACAGGTTCCTCTCTATTTTCTAATATAGGATTGATTGCTCAGATGGTCACTCAACTAATAGTTATTATCTCAAAAAGTCGCCTCTCTTCTTGATTTAAATTTTCTTCAACAAAGAAAAAGTGACTAGCTGAGATAATAACTATTACCAGTTGAGTAGCTACTACTCGTATTTTGATGATTTGTGGTGCTTGTTTGGTAATTTTATCTTTATGTTAAACAAATTTTGAAATAACTCTAGGGTCTTAATTAGTAGTATCAAAATCTTACTACAAGACACCACAAGAAATACTCTCTCCTTCCAGGCACCTCTTTAATATCAACTTTTCATGTAGCATGTTCAAGACCACAAGATTAAAGGGTATTTAGATACATTCAACACAAAGGATTCTTTACTTTCTTAAACTTCGTGTCAAGTCAAAACATGACAAACAATTTGAAATAGATGTAGTAAACACAATAAGTTCATTATTGTAAGTGTAGTACATGATTTTAAATTAATATAGAGGTACAGACAGAGAAGTACAATTATTATATGTATAAAAACATTTTATCTGTTCTGACTTTACCTGAGATGGTTGTTGTCTTGTAGAGAAAGATGATGTAGGGTCTGTAATAGAGTCAATTCTCTTGGAAGTTGAAGCTGAACTGGCAACTGAACTGTTTGCTGTGCTTGAAAGTATTGCCCCATATTCTTCCTCCATTCTATCTAACATACCCTTTGATAGTCCTTCCATTTTTTCCCTCAACAACTCCACCTGCAAAACATTTTTTACAAATTTTGTAAGCAGAGCCTTGACGTAACTGGTAAAATTATTGTCATGTGATCATGAGGTCGAGAGTCCAAGCTATAGAAACAGGCTCTTGCAAAAATGCATGATAAAACTACATACGATAGAATCTTGTGGTTGGACTCTTCTCTCGACCCTCGCATAACGAAAACTTAATGCATCAAACTGCCTTTTTTTCATTTTTCAAAATCAAAACTACAAGTAGTCAAGATTACTTGAATTTTGTGAATATAAATTGAAAATATGTATAAAGTACTAAAGTTGAATTATTTTTAAAAACACCACCACCCCTGTTGTCTTTTTTCAAATTTTTTATTACAGTATGTTTTTTAAATAGTCCACGTGGAGTTACCAGATACCTTATTCCAAGGTTAAATTTTCAAATGATAGCAGGTTCTCAAATAGTTCATTCTCAATCATAATTAACTAATGCACACCAATTATCTTATTCTTTTCTCAACAAAAAGTCTATACAGTATTAAATAAGCCTATAGTAATTACTTAGTTGATAAACATGCATAAATGGCTTACTTTATATAGCCTCTATCAAGATTACAACTTCTTTTTTTCGAATCGTGGAAGTAGATACTAGTGCTTACATTAGGTATGCCGTATGCCTACATCACACCCCTTGAGTGCAACCCTTCCCCGAACTCTGTGAATGCGAGATGTTTTGTGCACCATACTGTCCTTTTTCTGACAACTATATATAATAACATATCTAGTGAAATTCTATAAGTGAGGTCTGAGTAGGGTGAATGTATGCAACCTACCCCTAACTTATAAGGATACAGAGATTGTTTTCGATAGACTATCAGCTCAAGTAAGGAATACCAATAGCAAAATAAGCAATATGAAAATCGAAGGAAAGGAAACAACAGGTAATAGTAATATGTTTGGCAACTATATAAAAGATCAATAGAGAAAGTGAAAAAGGCAAAACTTACATCAGTAGAAGTATTATTCTTGGTTTCTTTGTCAATTTCATTTGTTGATTGAGCTAGCTGTTGTAATTCCTTGAGAGCTTTTTCATCTGTTAAACCTCCAAGCTTCTCTAGCCTTTTCTGTAAATGACATGCTTTTTTTATCAAAGTTACTACAATGTCTCACTTCGACATCTTTATTTTTACAACTTTTCTTTAACTCTTCAAGTTTTTCTGCTAAATCTTCAATCTCTTCTTCCAATACTGCATTCACATTCTTCCCTTCAAAAATCTTCTTTTTCCCCTGCAAAATCAAGTAACAAAAAGTTTTAACATTGAACTTTCACCAAAGTAAGAAAAAATTACAAAAAAAAATAAAAAATCAAGGACTTCTAAATTTCACTTTTAATATTCTAAGGCACCTCCATTTTTAATAATTCTACTATTTTTCAAGTTAAAAAATAGAGTAAAAAAACAAAGAACATTAAGAAAAAAAATACTATTTTCATATGTATAAAAAAGAAAATTTGAACAGTGGTGGCATTTATTGGACAGTGGGATTGCATGAAAAAACTGAAAACCTGTTTTTCTGTTCTTTCTACATTTGATAATTAAGTTTAATACATTAATAGTATAAACAGAATTATTACAAATAATTATAGATAAATATTCATAATAAGTGAATTCAGTTTGGTATTTTCAATAACAAGGTATAATCTCACAAAACTTATTCGTACCTCGTACAAATAGAGAGGATAAATCCCCGGCTTAAAATAAAGCATCTCCAAACATTTTGAAAATATAGAAATGAGAGCAGTAACAATAACTGAAGAGCAATACACAACATACAGAGGAAAGAACAGTAATGACAGTAAAATATTGTGATAATCGAAGCACAAAAAACACAGATGATAATCGAAATCGAAGAACAAGAAACTACGAGAAGAGTGTTGATATACTCACAGCAATGAGAGTGTGAACAGCTGATCTAAGAGTCTTCTCCATCTGAAGTCTATTCCTTTCCAATTTCTTCAAAGCAAATTGTCTTTCCATCCTTAAGAAATTACACTCTGCCCTTAACATCTCTGCTTGAAACCTCCATTTCTCCTCCTCCCTGCCACCACAAAATATAAACAACAATATTTCTATATCAAGAATCAATTTTTCACATTTAAAAGGATACTTTCCTTCATAAAAAAGAAAAAAACAAATTTGCATTTATTCAAGAAAGATTTGTCAGCCCCACTTTTTAGAAAACTGTAAAAATCCCAACTTTATGTTAAAATATCAAACTTGGTTCATAAAAATTGTAATATAATTTCCATGAGAATAAAGGGTTTTCTTGAAAAACAAATTTAACATTAATTCAAGCAAAAATAATCAGTCCTACTTTTTAGGAAACTGTAAAAATCATAACTTTAAGCTACATTATTTCTTCTTCTTAAAATTGGGGACAGAGGAAATTACAAAGTGGAAAATCAAACCCTTACCAATACAGGTGGTCGATCAACTGAGCTACTAAGATTTATTAAAAAAACTGATTTAACAAACCTGTCTACGGCATCACCACCGCCATTGACAGCACCTTCTTGTTCTTGTTCTTCGACTCTTTCTCTCCTCTGAGCCGTAGAAGAAGACGAAGAAGAAGTTGACGTATTGAGAAGAACAATGGGATTAATAGAGGAAGAACTTCCATGAAAGTATCTTTCTTGATCAAATAAACTTTCTAATCTCCCTTTGTAATAGTCACATTTCTTCTCCATTGGGTAAAGTTGTTTCTTTTTCGTATTTCTGGGGGTTTTCCGGCGAGTTCTCCGGGGAAAATGAAGGATTTTTGGGCTCGGTGGTGGTGGTGGTGTTGGGTGCCATTTGGGTTTTCTTGTTATTGTTGATGACATTTTCTCTATTTTGATTTTGATTGTGTGTGATTTTCTCTATCTCTATCTTTTTGCAGTATTTGTTTTGGTGCAACAAATTTGAATTTAACGGGTAGACTATAATCACTAGAGCGCCTACAAGAAGTGAATATATTTAAAATTTATATATAGAGTGTGAGTGGTGTTGGAAAATGACATTATTACCCTTATGTTTCATGAACTCATACTTATCCGTATTTTTATACTTACCTTTGTTGACTTTAAAACAAATTAAGGATATAATTTAAATCATTTTTTATTATTATTATGATGAAATCATAAATATAACTTTACAAGTAATACAATTTATTTCTAGAAAATTTCAAACTTCATTAACGGAAAGGGTAAATATAAAAAAATTCAAATATTCATCTTGAACTTTGAATAATGAAAAAAATCTTAATAATTCAGTTAATATGAAATACAGGAAGTACTTAATATGGATCTAATTTACTAAGTAAATTATTTTTATTAAATATATTTTTGAAAGTTTAAATTTGAATATTATTAATATTTTATGCAGTTATTTAATAATAAGAATAATAATGAAAGAAAATAATAAATTTCTCTTAATTTATTAAAATAGATAAGTAAAAATGACAAATTTGTTAATATTAGTATGACAATCAAGTAAGAAGGAACAGAGGAAGTAATTTATTTCATACTAGGATAAATAAATTATTTTTATATTATCAATTTAATTTTACCCATTATAGCAGGTAGCTTGGCTTATGTGTGATTCTTGTAGTTATTATTCACTTATTTCATTTTACGTGAAAGTGAACAGTTTTTTCTTTAACTGTATTTTTTTTTCTAATATTACTTAAATATTTTTAATTATTATGTATATTGTCTTATAGTTTTTGCATAGTATTTAAATAAATAACTTTTTTGTTCTAAAATCTTTGAAGAATTTATATCTTAATTTACAATCAAAATCAAATGTTTTAATCCTCGTACTTCAAACTTTTTTTTTCATAAATTGAAATATAGTGAGCAAATGATATTGAAGTACAAAAGTAGTTGTCATTAACAACGTATAAACATAACGAATAATTTTAAGTTACTAATTTCATTTATTACAAAGGATAATATGTAATTTTATTTTAGTTTATCCAACAATATAAAATCAATTTACATAGTGATTTTGCAAAGAATCTAACACATTTATATTGTTTACCTTCAAATTATCAAAGGCGTGCAACCTTGTGAAGGTGAGAACAAAAAGAAATACTATAAGATAAAATAATTTTGAAATGGAAGTGAGGATTTTAGTTTAAATTCCAATTGGTACCTCTACATGTTTTTTGGGAAATTCAAGAATCTTGAAATTTAGTGAGTTAATGTACTTTTACTTTAAGTTACCCTTCACAGACTGTTCTTTCGCTATATGACCAAACCAGATGCCACTGATCTTGTGTCTCAATTGGTCCCCTTAACCAACCTATGAGGTTCTATTCATCACTTATAATGAATTCTTTGGATTAATGAAACCTAAATCTATAATGATTAGCAAATGACAAACATATATGAAGTTGCCAACATGCCATATACATAAACTTCCAATTTATCCCGTTGTTTTCATATTACTTGACATTTGTTGACTTGACAAATATTTTATTACTTTAAAACTCTAACTTTGATTGTTAGTACTTTATGGTGTAATCTAATATTATGGGTAATATGAGAGAAAAAACCAAGAATCTCTGTGAAAATTCTATAACTGACATAAATAGGACTAGTAATTATAAGTTGTGACATTATTCTTTATCTTTCAAGTTATAACAATAAAAAAATTGCATGTTTTAACATTTTAGTAAAATAAAAAAAAGATTTAAAATAATAGTAAAAATTAATTAGTGTGAAAAACAAATAAGGTAAAAACGAATATATTAGTAGTAAATAATTTGAATTCATTAATGATAATTAATATGTGGCATTAAAATAGGAGATTCATAAAAAAGAAGAAGGAATATTTGTTTTTCTTGTTTAACTCAAAGCAGTTAAAATTCGTTCAAAACATATTTCTTTTCTTTTCTTTTCGAACGTTTCTCTCTCTTCTCAATTTTTTCTCTAGTTAGTCGTCACTCTCATCTAATTCATATTCGTTTTTATTCAATAATCATCATTTTCTTGTAATGGACGGCTTCTTATCAGTATTAATAAAGCATGGTGGTAGATGAGATCCTTCAGGTTAGTATTCTTTGCGATATTTTATTTGTATTGGTATACTAACCAAACGTAAAAAATAAAATAAAATTAAGAACAATTATACTGGAATATATTCAGATTTTTTTCTGTGTATAATAATAAAGTATGGCGTTTTTGGAATGAACATTTATTTTTTGAAATTACATCAAATTTGTTTGAAAATGGTATAGATTTTGGTATGAACATTTTTATTTTATTTTGTATGTTTTTGGTTTAAAAAAATTGCATAAAATTTATTTGAAAATGGTATGCTAGTTATACCATGTTGGTACGATTTTGACATTATATTGGAATGAATTTTGTGTACTCATTATCTAATAAATGACAATTAATAGTTAAAATTAGTATTAATTGGATATTATATTGACATGATTCTTAAGTGAAAAAGTGACAACTTATGTGATGAAATATTTATAATTTTAGCATGAAATGTGTATGAAAATTGTGCATAAAATTTTTATACTGATTTCATATTTTTTGTTGTGTATAATAATTTTAATTATGACGTTTTTTTTAATGTATAATGTTTTATTTTGGTATGAACATTGAATTTGTTCATTATTTGTCTGATCCATTTTTTATTTGATGTGTGACAGTAAAAAGGGAACATGAATCAAGGTAAAATTCCTAAAAATGGGTAAGAGATAATTATGATTGATTCTTTATTTATATCATCTAATAATAAAAATATAATCATAAAATTTTAATTATTTAATAAAGTGGAATTAAATTAATTTATAAATAAAAAGTGATATGTTATAATCCGTAATTAAAATGTTATAAGGAATAATATTTTAAAAGTAGATTTAAAATCTATAATATTGCCCTTTAAATATATATGTGGGGTGATTTTTCCTAACTGAAATACTTTGATGGAAAAAATGGATAATATGATAACATTATATATATATCTTTAATTTGAAATAATAAAATTTAAATTTCTTCTTTAAATTCTTAAATTTTATATCTGATCAAATTAAAACACATTATGATAAAAATATACTTAGTATAATGTATATTGTCTAGCACAAACTGATAATGAAAATTGTTGGTGTATTTGAAATGACAATATATTTATTATTATTACTATGTTGAGTTGTTGACTTGTAGTATTTATTATGTTGGTTTTAAATATGTCAAAAATATTAAAAAATAAATTGAATATGATTAAAACTTTTAGTTAAAATTAAGTGTTTTGATCCTCAATTTTTTTTGTTTCCTTTGTGTTGATGGTTAAATGAATTGGCCTCTTGCCTAACCATATGATTATTTATTTCAACCAGAATTAAACTGTTCAATAACTGATTTAATTTATGGAAGGTTCTTTTTTGTGAAAAAACAAATCAAAGTTGCAATTGGCAGATCTTCACCGCAGTTGACATATAAAAAAAGAGTTTCTTTTTCAATAATAAAATAATAATAATAATAATAATAATAATAATAATAATAATAATAATAATAATAATAAAGAAAATAATAATAAAAAGACATTGATGCCTCACGAAGGAAATTAAATACAAGTAGTTAATTTATTTTTATTTTTTTAAAAAAGGAGCCAAAGTCCAAGAAAAAGCAGAACAAAATCACACGTTTCAAGATGTTGTGTCCTCTGCTTCTCAGCGTGACTCTAATTATTTATTACTCTATACTTTCATTTTTGCTTTATTTTACATTTTTCAAACAAAGTCTAATACGTATATTGAGATTTGATTAAATTCAAATTCGTATATGGTTAAAATTTATTCAACATATAGTTTTTCAAATGCTTAACCTGAAACATCTAATTCCGAACAACCCATGATAATTTAGGTGGATCTTTCATTTTACTTTATTTTATATTTCTCAAACAATATCTAAGATTTGACTAAATTTGAATTAGTGCATTATTGTATTGTTAAAACCTATTTCTAGATGCACTTTCAACCGAATTTTTTTCATTTTCTATTGCTCGAACATAAAACATTTGATTAAAGTTGGAGAGATTTCAATCATTCCACAACAATTTATGTTGATCTTTTCATTTTGCTTATATTAATATATGAGACTACAATATTTGATACGTGCATTGAAATTTGATTAAATTTGAATTCATGCATTATTAAAATTGATTTCTGGAGGCACTTTCAACATAATTTTTTTCATTTCTAAATATTCGAACCTAAAATATTTAATTAAAGCTGAAGAGATTCCGATTATTCCACGATTATCCAGGTTGATCTTTAAGAAGCAAATTGAAATTTTGAAATGGAGTAATATGAGACTACGACCTTTAAGAAATTTTAAAAATAAATTAATTAATTTGGTCCGTGCCGTTTAAGCTGTGTATATATGTTATGGTAGTCAATGGGTAAATTAAATGCGCTAGGTTATTGTGTCTCCATTTGTTTTCCTTTAAAAAATTTATAATTCTCTAATTATTTTTGGAATAATGCATAAATATGACAATATAATATATATTTTTTTCAAATATAACTTATATCCTTGGATATAGTATTTATATTGCATAAATGTGAACACGTGTTATTAATTGGTTTCACGTAATAATTACTTATAATTATTTTAAAGGACAGATAATGCAAATAATATTTTTGATGTATTACACTACATCAAAAATGATTTTTAATGACAATAGTTTAAGTGTCATTAAATATATTTTTAGTGACAATTATCACTTTATGTAAATGTCTCTAATTAAAGTCTATAACGACATTAGATTCAATAATAATTATGTGATATCAGTAAGAGTTTTAGCATTCTTAGCATTGAGATAATATCT